ATTATTTTTTCCAATGAAAAAGAGAAATGTGAAATTGATAAAATCGATCGATAACTTTACCGCCTAATTCTGCTAACTTCGCATTACAATGCTACAACCACCGTCTAACGAAACAGCGCTATATTTTTGTTATTTTGTGTACTTTTCGATGCTTATTAACCATTATTGTGTGTGTTTATTTCCTCTCAAATTTATGAATAATGTTGAAAAAGAGATAATGAAGGAAAATTTGAGAAATTTCAAGAATTTCAATAATTTTCAGTTAGTTTGATCAATTCAAAATTTCAGAAACATTACATTTATTGAGGAAAATTTTTGTTTGTAATATGTGATAATCATTTCTAGTTTTCACATCGATTTCTACATGCATTCTCAATGATTGTAAACTATTTACTGAAATAATATTTCTTCTGCATTGAACTAATTACTCATTTTGATATTTTGAGTAAAAAAAAAATCCGAAGTTGAGAACATAATTTTTTTTTTAGGGTAATTTTACTATGTGTTGAATAATTTTTAATCAGGGATGTTTTCAAAATTGTAATCGTTAATTATATTTGCAAATTGTTCCAATTCCAGCACTCAAATATACAAGTGACTTAATCAAATAGTAATGAACTTGTTGGAATTACTTGATAGAAGTCTATAATTTTTGTTATTCAGAATTTCTCTTTCATGTGCTCGAAAAATCGAAAAATTTACCAAAAATTACATTTCAGCATAGTTCCGCAACCATTGAAAAGAACAGCGATAATTTTTCAACTGACCAACAGCTGCGGCCACAGCCACCAAAGGCAAGAAGAATGCCAAATATCAAAGTATTATTCGTACTATTCATATATGTTCTTACTTTTATCATCCTGAGATACACTTATTCATATTATGCTTGCACGCTGATGCATATATCTATTAATTTACAAATGTATTCTGATAAATCCTTATAATCGACAAATTTCAGGTGTTTTCCGGTTCATCACATCGAGACTTATCGGAGAGAATTTGCGAACGATTACAGTTGGATGTTGCAAAAGCATCACTTAAAAAATTTAGTAATAAGGTAATTTTCGAAATATATATTTTCTTGCTAAGGACTACTTTTTAGCCAGAGGAATCAATGAGAAATTATTTAGGAGACGAATGTTGAAATAGGCGAAAGTGTACGTGGGGAAGACGTTTATATAATTCAAAGTGCATGTGGTGAAATAAATGATCATTTGATGGAACTGCTAATAATGATAAATGCCTGTAAAATTGCTTCATCATCTCGCGTAGCTGCTGTTATTCCTTGTTTTCCTTACGCTCGTCAAGATAAAAAGGTGAGTATTAAGTTGTCAATTGTAGATATTATTTTTAAATTCACAATTTTAGCATATATTCTTTCTAATTAATTGACTAGGCTTATGTAATTTTTTCTTCACATTATATGCGTTACAATTCTCCCTGAATATAATTCCAAAAATTACTGTTGAAACGGGATACTGAGTAATCTAATAATTATAGTAAATGTTCATTAGGCAGCATTTCTTAATCAAGGGCTCCTCTGATTGGTTCTGAATAGTTTCAAATAACTCATTTTTCCACATGCACACTTATTTTCCATAATGCTTTAAACGTTTTCATTCAGGATAAATCTCGAGCTCCAATTAGTGCGAAACTTGTTGCAAATATGCTTTCCGTAGCAGGAGCCGATCATATTATTACGATGGACTTACATGCTTCTCAAATACAGGTTTTTTCTCATGTATTCTTATATACATTATTTATAGAGCAAATAATAAAATTGAAATTTATGAAAAAATAAAGATGAACTCTTTTGAAAAACAAGTTCAACCGAATAATGAATTTTATAAAGTTTTTCAGGGCTTCTTTGATATTCCTGTAGATAATTTGTATGCGGAACCGGCAATCTTAAAATATATTAAAGAATCGATACCAAATTGGCAGGAAGCAGTTATTGTATCACCAGATGCTGGTGGCGCAAAACGGTATGTGGTTGGATTTGATTAGTTAAATAATTAAAGATACAGAATTCCTTCATATATTCGTAATATTGTCGTACGAAGGAATAATATTCGAATAAGAAAATATATAGAAAAATAAATATATAGCTATTTCCTTATATTTTGCCTTCAAATTTAAGCTATATCCAGTGCTGTTTCTGTGCAATTGCAGAGTAACTTCAATTGCTGATCGCTTAAATGTCGATTTTGCACTGATTCACAAGGAACGTAAAAGAGCTAATGAAGTGGAAAAAATGACACTTGTTGGTAACGTTCGTGACAAAGTATGCTTTATGTAGTTAGCTGATATTTAAATTTAAAAAAGAAGTAATGGTAATAGATATGGATATTCAATTTTGCTGCAACTTTTCTTTGGTACTTTTCAGGTTGCTTTATTGGTCGATGATATGGCTGATACATGCGGAACGATCTGTCTTGCTGCTGAAAAGTAAGTATAGACAGTTTGGTTTAATTCAGTTATTTAATATAATTCTTTCGATCACCACTAGATATTGTACAACGATTGCCCTCGTTTTACCGTAATTATCAGGTGGAAAGCATTGTTTATTCACTGTTTACGGAGAATATATCAATATTCCGATATTCTTTAGTCCCTTCCACTCGTTTCCCGGATAGAACATCTGAATCGACTTCTTTGAGAAATGACGCTAACTGAAGCTGCATAAAAAGGCTTACTTGACTGCTATGGTTTTCATTTTGTCCTGCTGAGAATTATCTTACTTAATGCTTTACGATTGTTTGGTTGATAACCATTTAATAGAAGTAAAAATTTTTCTGCCTATTCGCTAGTTCTTTTTTTACTAAATACTGACTTTATTGTAAAAACGGAATTTGCATATGATTTCTAATTGATCAGTTGGTTGTTGGCTTTAGGTTGGTTGAAGCAGGAGCAAGTGCAGTGTATGGGTTTTGTGTGCATGGCATTTTCTCAGGGCCTGCAATACAAAGGCTGAACAATTCAGTGTTTGAGGCGGTGGTTGTCACAAATACAATACCACAGGAACAGAATATGAAAAAATGTCCTAAAATTCAGGTGTTTCAACTTTAAGCAATTTTATTCCTAATGTTAAGATTTTCCAAAACTTTAGCATTCAACATACAATACAGTGTTCTATATTAAAAATAGTAGGTATGTAGCTCCGTTTCATATTTCAATGTCTCCGTTATAATCATAATGTATTAAACATTTTTTGCTGGAATGATTCCAGTGATAACTTTTGTGAATTTACAGACCTGATAACATACTTAACAGTTAGTCAAGTATCTAAAGTTACAAATGATTAGTATGACTGAGTTAACGAGAATAAACACATAAATATATTGGATTCTTATTTGGGTAGCAATATTTGATGTTTGGTCCTTATTTGAGTAACAGTAAGTTATGGATAGTTATTATACCAATCAGATTCATCCTACTTTGCTAGAAATATCTCTAACCATATCTGTTAACACTTAAAAAATAAGATTGATCGTTAAGATACTTGCTGACCATTCTTATTTAGTTATAATTGATCACTTTTAGTGTCATGTTATGATTAGTTTACCGTCAGAGTAATAATCATTGTTCTTTCAGTGTATTGACATTTCGATGATTCTGGCTGAAGCAATTCGACGTACTCATAACGGCGAATCAGTGTCTTATCTTTTCTCACATGTTCCTATGTAAATTTGACAAACACTTCTGCTGATGTCCTACCATTGACGCTGTTCCTGAAAGATGAAGGTTGTTGGAACGAAAGAATTAAGTGTTATCTTTCAACACTTCTAGTCAATCTTTTCATTTATATCAAATATGCTTTTAATTATTGCATTGTCATTATACTTTAGGGATTTGTATTAACTTATGTTTTGCACAATGTATTCTAAGGATTACGATTAAATTATGTGTTTAATCGCTTTTTCATATTATTTATAGGGTAGAGTAGATAATATTTGACAATTGATTGATTAAGAAATAATTTTAAGCTTCTCAATTCTAAAGAAGGAAATGCATTTTATGCATTTTCATAGTAATTATAAACATATATGCTACTAATATTTTTTCTGGATTTAATTGATTCGTTAAATATACTTTGTTTTGATTACTTCATTTTTTTTATTAAGTAAACTCATTTCGCAATGGAATCATTTCTCCAATTTATTTTATTTATATATTTTATTTATTTTTGTTTTCTTTTCTGTCTTTTTAAGTGTAATCATTTCTGGAATATTACAGTGGTATGAAATTTCTCTGCTCGAAAAAAAAAAGTTTGATATATGGTGATGAATGCAATGAAGAAAATTGTTCCAGTGATGATCGGTAATACATTCGTCCTACCACGAACTGTGAATGTTTTCTGAGCATTATGTTGCAAATATTTGTGACTTTTTAATTGAAAAAAAGAAAAACGAGAAAAAAATAAAATTATCGAAAATGGCCAGTGGAGTGGTGGGTTTTCGGTTTTCCAAAGTTATAAATTTTTTATCTCATAATCGATATTTAATCTGAAATTTGTCACTCATCAATATTTAGTCTGAAATTTATCAGAAAAAATCGATGTTTACTCATCTAGATTTTTGGGCTAGAGAATTCGATTATCAGAAGTGTGAAGTTCCTTTCAAGCATTGTATTTCAATATTTTTAGCATTTTTTTTACCTTTCAATTTTTTTTTTAAATGATCACTTTTATATTTCTAAAAGGTGTTCAACAATAGGATTTTTTTTCAAAATTGCCATACCACTGAGTATTTTCCTTGTGAGATTCTTGGTACGAAATTATCTACCTGGAGAGGAAACAACTTTTATTTGTGCCAACCTTATGAGGGTTAGAAAAGGAGCTTTATGAATTGAATTTGGTTTCATCCTTAAGTTGTGGACTCGATCTATTTGTATGCTCAAATTATTAACATCTTAAATTCATATTTTTCTTATTTCAGGGAACTAAAGTTTTTTTTCTTTTTTTTTTCATTTTTAATACCGCGTAGACTACATCAAAATCGATGCTGAAGGCAGCTATTTTGCTCATGTTACACTCAACTTATGCAAAAGTTCAAAATTATGAGACAGGTGATAATTCAACTGTCAAGGGTTGCTCGTAAGTTTGTTTTATTTATTTATTTCTGTAATTTATTAACATCCACTATGATTGCTTCCCAGTTTCACGTTTCAACAATTTATCGTTTGTGTATCTGAAGAAGGGAATTCGGAATGTATTGAAATTATTATTAAATTAATTAAAAACAATATGTATGAGAAGTGTTCTTGTCCGTTTATCTTAATTTTTATATAAGTGTTGTTTAGGAGTCATTGTTCTTTTCACGACGGTAATCTAACATGCTTAAATGGATCATTGGAGTTTTATGAACGTCTTCTGTTGGCACAAATGAAACATTTTGTTGCAGTTCAAATGCACATTGGTTATAATTTTCAAATTTTTTGTAACATTTCTAAGAAATACTCTCTGATGATAAAGAGTGGCATAAGGAAACCAGGTGGAGTACATATGCGAGATGAAAAAGTCCTGAATAAGACTTATTTAATTACAAGGCGTTATTGTGTAGTAAAACTAAATGATTATTGCTGCAGATCAGTGGTACAAATGGCATAAACACGGGCATCGTAATTATACGGAAATAAAGAAGGAAATAATCACAAAACTTTCCACATATTTGGAACCGGAAGATGTAGTCGATGAAGGGACAGTAAGTGTATTTATTTTCCTTTGCACTTTTTTCTTTTTTTTTTTTTTTTTTTTGGTAATGTTTTCGTAGTATAAATATGTTATGTTATAAAAATTTTTGATAACTCCAATACCTGAACTTTTTTTTTCATATTTTTAATATAGCAATTTCACGTATCCTAAAACATTAACGACATTTAGATTCTGCAATTTTTTTTTTGTTTGCAACAAGCAATTTATGATACGAATATTAAAGGTAATTAAAAAAGCATATTGAAATTAATCATAATATTTCAACGTTTTTTTTGATGCATATTGAAACTATTGCAGATTGCTACTGTAATTGATGTTCTAATAGACACTGTAGAGAAAGGAACTGAAATGGTGGAAGAAAAAGAAGAGAAAATACCACGTTTCACTTGTCCGTTACCTTGTGAGTATCGTTACGACATATGGCGTAATGTATTCATTGCTTCGATGGTTTTAAATTTACTACTTGTAATTACCATTATTCCATTTATCGTATCACTTATTAGGTCTGATGTTCCAGAACAATTGGTAAGACGATAAAATACCTCTTTTATGACTAATTTATTTACTTGACAAGAAAGTTTTCTTTCTTTCAACTATACGATTTTAATTGTCTTCCGTAGAAGTCTAGGATTTCATAGTAGATGAGATGAGAGTTTTTGTTCTTGTTTTTGCTTCTTCAGTTTTTGGTTTAGAAAAATTTCTTTCAAGTGTTGTAGTTTATATCCCTTGAAAATCGTAAGTGAAATGTACATATTCATGATAAATTGAAATAGTTTTTGTTTCGTAATGATTGAATTCAGTGAAACAAAAAAGGTATAAACTATAACATTCTGGGAAGTTTTTATGTATTCATTCTATTCTAAACATTTCCTTAGTACAATCCTTATGAAATCTGTGCCTATTTTTTTTTTCATTTGGGTTATTTTTGTTCTTTTTTGATTTTAATCAATCGATTTGGAAGTTGCAGCCAACCAGAAGTGTTGTTTAATATTTGTTTTTAATTTTAAATTGCCTATTTTATCCTTTTTTTTTTTTGTCTCTTCTGTCTTGCAATTTCATTGTTGTTACTTAGCATTGTAATTGTTTTCTTGATTTTTAGTGAACTCCTCAGTTATCATTCCATACTTTTATTCCATTACTATAATCTATTTCAAGTTATGAACATTTCAGATTGACAGTTTAATCCTTTCAGTAAACTGATAGTCCAGCATATTCATCATTATTATTTGGTTTGCAGCACTGCAGTATAATAGATTCCATTTCCTAATTTAATTCTAATATAATTATTTCTAATAAAATATCCTAATTTAATCTGTTTCCAATATATATTCTATGTGTTTTCGCCCATTTCCAATACATCAAACGTAATGTTAGTAAAATTCGAGGATAAAATTGGAAGTTTAGTAAAATTTGAAAGTGGAATTGGAATTTAATTCCCCTTTATTTCCCTTAAACTTTTGATTAGTTTTCAATGTTTAAATAACCACGACCTGGATTACTTTCAGTTTCTCGAGAAGCTGTTTAATTGTGGAGAAGATTCAATGAAATACCATAGGTAATGTGAACATTATAAAAAATAAAGTTATAGAAATGTCCCATCTTAGAGACTACATGTAAATATCAATTGAAGATATTAAAAACTCAGCAAGGTTTTCGAAATTGTTACAAATGGTCGGTTCTGGTTTAGTTTTCTTTTTGTTTTCTTTTGTCGTAGATGGATGACCAAAATGAAACATGCAGACAATTGCTGTTAGATGAATTGGACTTCCTGAAAGCAATGTATACGGTGGACGAATTAGAAATAAACGAGCCTCAAAATCCAACACAAAATGGCCAAATTACACAGTTAACTTTGCATCAGGTAGAAAATATATGATTTTTTTGAGGGTAAAAAAAAATGAATCAATTATTCTTTTTTATTTCTTAATTATGGATTGAAATGAATTTTTCCTTACAGTGAAATTTAAATTTGATGCAAATTTATATTTTAGCAAATTGATAACATCAGTTACGAGGTTGTGATACATTTGAGTAGTGAATATCCTATTATTTTGAAACCGTCTGCGTTTGTTCGTTGTTCATTGATCAATTGTGATTTGCTCAATCAAGAACTTCGATATTTCATTGATCAGGAAACTCTTGGTATACCTCTTACATTAACAATTATGCAATGGATCAGCGATAATATCAGTCGTTTTAAGGTTATATTTCAAGCGAACTGACTTGTTTTTCACTTATTTTTTTAAGCGCATAATTAGATATTATGACCAATTATTGAATATATGTCGTTTTCATACTTTGTCACAACCCAAATCGTCTTCTCTATGTTGAATTTTCTATAGCTTATCACATACTTCTACTTTCCTATGAGTTTGCAGTGAGCTTTTTTTAAAGCTTCATTAAATACATAAATCGTAATAGTGATTTTCGATTTTGCACTTTTTCTTTTTTAGGAATAACTTTTTTCTTTTGAAAAAATCCATCGAACATTTCAAGGAATTTTCTCTTCTGAGTTTTTTAGGAAAGTTTTTTCACTAATTTCTTAAGATTGAAAGTTGAAAAGTTTCGAAAATAGTTCAATTGTTATTGTTAAATAATATTTTCCAATTAAAAATCACTTTGTACTATGTGAATTCATCTTTTCCATTTCATCATAATAAGCAATATTTATAGGAGATAATCGGAAATAAAACCATACAATTGGTAAATGATATGAAAACAACAAACAGTACTACTGTTTATGCACGATTTTGGATCTATTCACATCATATTCACAGCAAAATAAAGAGACGTATGATCAAGGATACAGCATCATTATATCAGTTAGATGGATTTTTCTGTTCTGGTAAACCGGGTGTTATTATTTTAGAAGGTTTTCGAGCTGATTGTAATAAATTTTGGGAACAAATTCGTGTCCTAAATTGGCAACGTATTGTGTTACGGTATTGTGAAGAGCAAACTGATCCTTCATTTTTTCGTCTTGGAAAATTTCGTGAAATTCAATTTCCACATGCGAGATATTTAACAGAACTGAAAAAGATACTAACTGAAGCTGGTTTGGGATATGGTTTTCAATTATTATTTAATCTGTAAATAATTCTATCTTGATAAAAATCTGTAAATATATGTGTGTCATTTAGATTTCTATATAAGTTCATTACAGTTAAAAATTGAATAACCATTTCCGGAATAAAATTATTAGTTAGTGAGGGTTGTAAACAGTTTCTTAAATTCTCAAATTTTTAATTATTTCGAATTTCAAATTTTCAATTAAATTACAAAATTTTCGGTTTTTTTTTCCTTTGAATTTCAAATCATTGATTTGCGGTAATAGAAGCAGAGATAAGTTTCTTAAGTCATTTCTTAATTTCAATTTTTTTCTCGATCTAGTTTGAAATTTTTTGGATTTCCCTTGGAAATTGCCCTATAATTGGTCTGGAGTATTTTTAAACTTATTGAGCTATGTAAAATATTTGTCTTCATCCATTCGATTGTTATGAACTATCCAAATATATTTTAATCGTCTTTTGATAACTTAAAATCTGTACAACCATTTCAAATATTGCCTTCATTTATCAAATCTTTTTTTTTTTTTTTTGTTTTTCTTAAACCGCTGGTGTTTTAATTTCTCTTGAAACCGGTACTTCCTTAAAGCAATTGTTGTTTCAGTCTCATGCATTTATCATTATGGGTAATCATTTTATTATTTTTTTTTCTTTTTTTTTAATTATGGAACTAAATAAATCGAATTTGATGAATGTAAATAACAAAATAATGTTGATTTCGATATTTTCTTATACTTTCTGTTTTTTGTTTTTAATCTGTTACTTATTAATACCTCCATGTATCATAATATCAGTTCAATATCTCACATCATACCTAATATTTGTTAACATTTTCATACATTATAAATAATGGCATAGCATATTTTCACTGCATTATTGATCCCATTTATCTTTCATCAATAAATTTTCAATCAAAAAGAAAGAAAAAACTCCCTTAATCTTTAATCATTTTTATCATTATTTCAAGAAATTTTTTGAGTTTGAGTTTCCCGCAAATATTCCTCTTCGCTGCTTGATTATTTCATTGTGTTAAGTATTAATACTCGTTTCGCATAATAAATACTTGGTTACTTTCTTATCTTATGTACAAATACATTCATTTAATCATTATCATATCATATATTCAACTTGCAACTTTTCTCAAATTTTTTAGATCAATCTTCGAAAGCAAGTAATTTCTCAAATTCTCTATTATTCAACTCTAAAAATGATTTCCTATGCAAGATTTCAGGAGTTTAATTTTTCGACAATTTTGCTTTTCTTTTTTCTAGACTAACTCATGTCCTCACCAACAATTTTAGTTTGTTTCTGTCACACAAATCTCTAAGTCATTCTCGAAATGAAAGAACAAACCATTCCCTGATGGGATGTGATTATTTCATACATGTTGCATGACTACAAGATGCGTTGTTTATTGTTATTCTCTGATTTCCGGAATAAGCGGTTCCGGTTATTATTTCATTCCTTTAGGCAACAGTGGATTTTCATCATTATTATCGATTTGATTAGATAGGAAATAATGATTATATTTACCAATTAAACGTATATATATATATATATATATATATATATAAGTCTAAAGTAGTATGCGTAAGATTCGCAAATAACTTTCAATACAAAAATGTCACATTTTCCTCTTTTTCCATATATTTTTTATGTCTCCCCAAAGCATATTATCGGTGTATTTTATGCATGTTTATGTAATAAGTCAAATATTACCAGTGCATTTTATGAATTAATTGCATGACGTGTTATAAAATTTTTTAATTGCATTACGTATTAGTCATTTTTGTATTACGTGTTACAAGATTTGTTATAAATTGTGTGACGTATCAATGTAACGATATACGCGATATGATATTTGTACGATGTGATATATGATAAAACTCATAGCATGTGTTACCTAACACCAAATTACACTCAATAATAAAGGTAATTATAGTAGTAATAATAGTAGTGTTAATGATAATAGTGACAGTAGTGATATAACAATAATAACAATGATAGTGACAACAATAATAATAATAGCAATAATAATTAATAATAGTCATAATAGTAATAAATATTGGTGATAATCAAAAACAATAATAATAATAACATTAATAATTAAACTGGATAATTAATTGAATAAGCAATCAGATAAATTATTAAATAATAAAATGAGTCAATAGTTAAATGGATAGATAATTAAACAAATAAATAATTGGGCATGAATAAATAAATAGTAATAGTAAACAACAATAAAAGTAATAATAGTTAAAGCTTAAGAAGCTTAGAAAACTTAAGAAAAAATTAAAACTTAGAAAAAAGTTCAAATATCGTATTTAAAAAAAAAAAAAAAAGTTCAAATCTGTTGTAAATGGTGTAAAGATTTCGTTCGTTAGATAAAATGCGGTTATTTTGATTATTGCATTAGCTCACCAACAATTTATAAATCATAAATACTTAAGGATTAGTCAGAAGAAGATTTCAACATGCTAGACCTAGTAAGGAATATCTGCATGGTATAGCACTTATACATCAACTTATGCGTCAAATAGCAAGTTATACCAAGTAAAATATCAAGTCTCTTTACTCGTTAGCTATAATCCTTTAATTATATGAAAGAAATGTAACGCCATTTACTAAGTTTTCCAAACTTGAATTTAATCGATAAAGTAATGTTAGGAAAGCTAATCAGCTGAAAGCTTCAAATTAGTCCATCTGATGAAATTTAGTTTAAATTATAGTTAGCATAGGTATTCGATAGATAATTATTGGACGACGCTAAAAATTGATCACTGTAATGGTAATTGATATGAGAAATGAATTAATTATGAGATATGTGTTGCATTAATTAAATTTGATATGTAGGAAATGGATTATTTAAGAAATTCAGTTAAGATATTATGGAGAGATTAAACAAAGAAAAGTATGTTTTAAAAAAAAAAAGAAGAGAGATTGGGAAGTTTAACAGTATGCATATTGTAAAATTGTTGTCACAAGAAATATAAAGTTAATATGAAAATTTTGAATTAAAATAGTGCTACATTTATTTAGTTAAAATTTAAGCAGTTAATATATTGAAATTAATGAAAGAATTTATTTTTTTACATTTCAAAAGGAAATAACCCGAAAATATTTTTCTAAAGTAGCATTAACCAATTAATTTTCTTTTCATATTCTTCTCTCTAACAGTGCACTTCATTGAATAGTTTTATTTTGGCTAGAAGAAAAAAAAAAAAAAAATTAAATCTAATTTGGAACACTTTGTTCCGCAATCTCTTTTTTCCGCTCTCTTTCCTGTCTTATCTGTTCCTTTCTCTCATCTTTCATTTCAACATAATTTTAAAGTCCTATAATTTCACCGATCATTATAGATACCTTAAAATGCTCAATCTCAATGTGTACTTTATCACAATTTGACGTAAAATGTTTATGTGTACATTAAATGTAAATACGAAAATTTACGGAATATTTTCATGGATTTACTTATAAACATCAAAAATTTCCCAAATATTTCTTTGTAATTATTAATTGAAATTCTACTTTTCCAATATAATTTCATAGTAAATATTTTAATTAAAGTGTATTGATTTTTATGAGTTGTTTTTTTTTTTTTTTTTTTCAGTTAAGGAAGTGAAAAAAACAAGAATTCATGTTGAAAGTAGTTTGAAATAATGTATGAATTACCTTGAAAAGTTTAATTTCTTTTCCATCTTGTGAAACAACAATTTTGATATAAATATATATATATATATGTATATTTTTTTCCATCATAATTTGTTTTGTAGATATTTCAATGAAAATGAGATAATTTGAATAAATTCATCTTATATTCATCTACTTATGTTATATTCAAAAATTATGATAATAAAATTGTGATACAATTAATTGAAAATTGCTAGTGATTAAATTACAATTATTACTTACATTATCATGTAACTTTTGCAATTTTTGATAAAATTTAATTATATTTCATCATTTCTAAATCTCATAAATTTTTCTTTAATAATAGCACTTATTCCTCTTTCCTTTTTTTTTTTCGAACATAAAAATAGAATGAAAAGATACGGAATGTTTTTTTTTGTTGAGAAATGTGATTGATCTTTTCGTGTAATATTTGATAGTGGAAAATGTAAAATGCTTACACTGTATGCGACAAATGAGCACTAATTTTTCTCTTTTCATTTTGAGCTCTTTTTTTTTCTCTTTCTCTCTTTCTCTCTCTCTCTCTCTCTATTTTTTAGGTATTTGGTTCTTTTTTTTTTTTTGAAAAAAAAAGAAACGAAAAATTTATTATTTTGATAGTAACACTTTTTTTTTCTTTTTAAATTGAACACAAAAATTTAGTATTTCTTAGTAATGTATTGAAGTATATGTCAACATATGTATATTTACTTGTTAATATATGCTTTTATTTACATATTTGTAATTTTTGTAGAATGATAATGATTTGATATAAAAAAAAAAAAAATAGAAGAATTATTAAATTATTTTGTTATCACTAGATGATATCTCCTACTTTTAACAGAGTAATTTTATCATCAAATAGCACAAGTAAAGAAGCATTTTATGGTATGAAAAAATTTCTTTTTCATGTAAATGTAAGAGAGAAAATGATTGCTCTTAGTTTAAATGTTAATTAAAATGAATTAATTCTTTTAAATATGATCAAATAAAATTAAAATGAATGAGGAAAAAGTGAGAATAGAGAAAATAATCTTTTGATTGTTGATGTATTTTATTTATTCTTTGATCATTCACATTCAAACATATTGCATTGTAAAATATCTGTTGTCAGTAGTGAACTTTTGTTGTGTTATTTCAAAGTTTTTAAAATTGCTTACAAATTTATCATTTATACCTATCATATATCATAGGAATATTAGTTGTAATATTCTTTTCTTCAAAGATTAAAGTTCATTCATCATCAATACAGCCATATATGTATATTTGTATGTATACTTTAGATTGTTATTTGCTAAGATTACAAATAATCAACCTCTTTTTTTTTTTTTTTCTTTTCTTTTCTTTTGTTTGTTTTGTTTTTTCTAAAAGATGGTATGAATTGATTGAAGATGAAAGATTGATTACATTTGAATTCAGCAATCAAACTTTTTAAAAAGTAATTATTGTAGGAAATAATAGTTGACAGATAGATGGATAGGTTTGCGTGATTTTATTCTTATGATTCATCAAACATTAAAAAATCTACTGTAATTTTTATTGCATAACAGAAAGTAAATAGTGACGAATGCATGGATGGATATATTATATAAAAGATAATTTATACTTCCTTAAAAAAAAAAAAAAAAGAATTGTAAATTTTTATGCAAAGTAAGAATTATGTTTTTTTTTTTTTTTCATCTTTTTTTTATAGGTACTTATTGTTTTTCATTCCTGTAATCATGATGAATGCAAGTTATAATTTACTTTTCCATGTTTCTACTCCGATAATTTCTTGCTAGATAGATAGATGATAGTTTAGTCAATGAAAATTTTCACTTTTTTTTAAAAAAAAAAAACTAATGGTATAAATTTGTGTTGCAAAATTAATGATTGATTAATTTTCGATTTATAAATTATATATGCATAAATTTTCATTTTTTTTTTTTTGTTTTTTGATAATAGCGAATAAATTCATTGATAAATTCGTCACAAAAAAAAAAAAAAGCATTTTTTCTTTTTTTATTCTCATACTAAATTTAATTATTTTTTAAAATAATGAAATAGATTTATGAAAGAAAAAAAAAAGTTGCAATTTTTATGCTATTAAATAAATTGTCTGTCTTATTTTCAAAATGTGAAAAGTTACTTTCTTGTTTTTTTTTTTTTTTTTTTTTTTTTATATTAACTGGTAGTAAGGATGAGTTGAAAAAAATAAATAACTGGATGAAATTTAGTGTAGAGAAATGTTGAACGTAAACAAAAAATGATTTCTGTGATTTTACAGCTGCTTTCATAACAGGTGTCATGAATATATTTTACTTCCGGCTCAATTCGGAAGAAAAACGAAAAAAAAAAAAAAAAAAAAAAAACATTGTAAAGGTTTGTTTGTTGAGATTAGTGTTTGAATCAGAGAATGTTCGCTTTTTTTGTTTTTTTTTTTTTTTTTTTTTTTGAGGGTTAAAAATGAGAAGTTAAAGTAAAGTTTTTTTTTTGCATTGATAATTAAATTCATAAGTTGTTATTATTATTATTATTTTTTGGTAATTGGTGAAATTATTATTTTAATACTCAAATTAATATATATCAATAATTTCTGGAAAAAAAAATATATATATATATATGAATTTGTTCTTGTTTACACATCTACATGTGACAACAAATTGATCATTTGACAGAGGGGAGGATACAATGATATTATTATGAGAGAATGTACAGCATCATATGAAAAAAAAAAAAAAAATTCGTCAGTAATTTTTTAACCTTAAATTTTGTTTATCATATTTTTATACATCTATGTTTATTAACTCATGCTAGAATATAAAATATAGAACTAGGAAATGGTACTAAATTAATTAACTAAATATTAAAAAGAAATATTGAAAATTTTAATTCAATAGAACTTTGTAAAATATATGTTATGAAATTTTCCATTTAAAGTGATTCATGCAAAATGTAATTGAAGTAACAGATGATATCTAGAAATGATAATAACAAAAAAAAAAAAAAAAAAATTGCCAAATAATAATGATGAAAATTAGAAATGTTTAGAAAAAAAAAAAAAAAAAAAATTTCCTGATTACTTTAAGTAATATCTTTACTTTTTTTTTTCTGTCTTGTTTTGTTTTGTTTTATTTCCCCGCCTTATCACGATATTTCTTTTCAATCGTATATATTTCCTTTATTACAAATTCTTTCTTTCACTCTTAGTTTCATCTTATCATTTCATTACATTTTTTTTTTTACCATTGCTCTCATTAATTAATGATTGCCATCGTCATCACACACACACACACACACACACACACACACACAAATGTTTCTTATTTCACCAATAATTTTCATTAAATTTCTTATTCTTCCATTAGTTTCTTTTTTCCATTCTTTCATTTATTTTATTTTCAATTTCTAAAAAAAAAAAAGAAAAAAAACAAACACTTCTAAAAAAAAATCTTTTTTTTTTTTTTTTTACTTCCTTTAACCTAATTTTTTTTTTGATGAAAATTTTAAAAAACAATATTTTTTAAATTTTATTCTTATAAAAATAATCCATTTGTTATGTGCAATATCAGTTTGAGTTGATTTCATTGTTAAAAGTATTTATATTATTCAAGTGTTTATAATTTTATATTAGTCATCATCTATCATAAAATAGCATGCAAATACATTGATCGCTTCATATGGCTATATTGAATGCTTTATTGAAATTTTAATGTGAAATTTTACCTTCAAAATCTATTTAGTATATATATAAATGAAATTTTTGTTTTATTTTGTTTGTTCTTTTCAATGTTATTTTCATTTTCCTAGTTAACTTATCGTTATTACTGAATTATCATTACTTGTAAAATGTTCGGAATATAATACGAGATTAGTATTTGGAGTAAGATTATAAGTGTTATTACTGCTTTCTAGCGTAAGACGAATAAATTATATTTTTAATTTTAAAATATTTCCATCAATTATTTTTGAAATGAAAATATAACTTCCATTTTTTTTTTTTTCATTTAAATTATAAATTGTTTTGATTTTATACTAAAGAGCTGATGAAAATAACATATGTTTGTATGATATTGAAAGTGATCAGAATTATTTATTCTATCAAATTTCAAGAAATTTGCTTAACCAAATTTTTGTGAGAAAAAATACATCAACTTTTTGACTCTTTTTTTTTTTTGTTTACCTTATTGTTATTTATAGCTATTTAGCTTTTTTTTTTTTTTTTTTTTTTGAAATGTTATTTCATGTTTTGTTAAATGTATAAATAATCGAGCTTACAATAGCAATCTTTCTTGCTTTTTCTTTTTTCACAGAAAGAAACATTCATTTCATTTCAGTTTGTATATCAATTTGATGACTTATCACTAACGACAATATCATATCATATCATTCATCGAATAAAATGTCATCAGAATCGCCATCACATGAGCCAATCCATAGTGGTCATTTTATGACTTCTAATCCACATAGCGATGAAATGTTACCCGATGAGGAAGTTGTTGGAGTTTGTTATTTTCTTTTTTTTTTTTTATTGTTTTATAATTATGTAAAAGATAACAGATTATAGTTAATATTAATATTAGTTTAATCACTTTATCTCAACCGAAATATTCATTGATAATAAAAGTAAAGATATATCAATAAAGATAATAATTAAATTTTGCAAGAACTTTAGAATCTTTTTACGATTATTATTATTATTTTAAGATCACTTTAGCAATTTCATATTGTTTTTACATGTAACATTAATGATTGACAACTGTATTAGGTAAGGAAATAATTTTCGATTTTATCATCAATTAAAATAATATCTGGTTGAGATATTAGGTTAATTAATTCTTTCGATTTATGTACTTTTATATGTACTTATATATATATATTTTTATTTGGACCTATTACTGATGAAGTTATTATTGATAAGTAAGCTTTCGTATTGAGTTTTTTTTTTTTTTTAAATTTTCTTTTATTTTGTTAAATAATGGCAAATATGGCTTAAAATTTCTGGGTAATTTTTTAGCGAAATTTCATTATTTTTCATTATTTTCATGAGTATTTTATCCTCAGAAAAGAAAAAAAAGTAACTTTTTAAACGAAAGAAGAAAGAAATAAGTAAATTTTAAATGCATAATTTCATCAGGTGTATCATGCTTGTTCTATTCAATTTACTTCATTAAATTGTATGTGATTAATTACTATATGAATATTAAGTAATTGAATTAATGCAAATGATAATATAATAGTTCAAAAATTATCTATCTACTTATTTATTTATTCATTTTTTTTATTTTATTTTATTTTTTGTTATATAATTTAAAGTTTATGCCAACAAATAGTAGACAATAAGCAATGCATTTGGATTGTATTTTGTTTAAAATTAATGATTTAAACTTTTTTTTTTTCTTTAAGGTTGTAGTTGAGGATGATGTCGTTGAGCAAGATGCCGAGCAAAAAGGTCAAGATTTATGCGATTTGAATGTTCAAGTAAGTTTTCTTATATTTATGCTATCTTTACTTTGTTGAATTTTGTTTGAACATTCTATCTTTTTAAGTAATTAATTTAATTTTTGGCAGATAATGTTACCATCGAAATTTATGAAGAAAGTTTTCTCTGTTAACGGTTTCTATAGTGTTTGTTACCTTGGAAACCATTTTTAGAAAAGATATTTTCTCATCAATTTTTCTTTTCCTTTTGATTTTTGTCCAAAAATCAAATAGAAATTTCTTGTTATTAAGTGATTTTTCCAATGTAAAGTGGTTTTGTTTTACTAATATTATAAACTATTATTTGATGTTTCTATAAATAATTGACACTATGCAATTTCTTTGGTAGACTAGAATAGTGCTTCAAACAAAAAAAAAAATAATAATAATGTCTCTACCTCATTTCCTATTTTACAATATATTTCCATAGTTCCTTTTTTTTTTTTTTTTTTTATATTCGTAGTTACAAATAGGATATTTGGAAGATATATTTTTCATTTCTAACAAATGTAATCTTTTTTTTTCTTAGATAATAGAATACTTTAGTTTATGTTAATTAATAATTAAGAATGAAAAATGTATAGTTCGTGAAACAATTTTGATTGATTTAAAGCATTGATGAAAAATTTTTTGCATTCTTATATAGCATAATTAGTCTTCAATTAAGTTTTCAGATAATCGAAAGATTATAAAGGTTGTGATATGTATTTAAATGTAATTTATAATCGAAATGACCATAAATAATTATTTCATTTATTAAGTTCTTTTATTTTCATCCTTTTTTTTTTAAAAAAAAAAAAAAAGAAGACAAAAACATTTTGATCAATTTTAGGATGAAAAGCCGGTTACTTTTTACAAATTTGGCCCAAAAAGGACGCAATCAATAGCAATTGATGTATCTTTAAATAAATTGAACAAATGCATCAAAGTGGCTTATAAGTTAGCTCTTTTGCTTTTTAATTCATCCATCATTTCTTTCTCTTCTTTTTTTGGCTGAAAGATTTAAATGTGAGATATGCTGATAAATATGATAGATGCTGCATTGATATGATGATTATTATGTCCTAATTCATATTCATATACTGAAAACATTTATTTGATTAGTTTTTGCATTTTTATATTATTTCTTATTTTTTCTTTCAAATAATTTTGCAAAAAGTTCCTTTTAAAAATAGTTGATAAGAAATTTGTTTGTGATTGTGAGCAGGATATATAAAATGTTCTGTCTCATTAGCAAATTTGAGATTTTTTAAGTGGAAAATTTCAAAAAAAAAAATTTTATTCATTTAAAGATGAAAACAATAGCACTAAAAATTTTTTAAATCGAACATTTATTTTTTAAAAATTGAACACTAATGATCATATTAGTGATTAATCATCACATTAAATTGTTAGCTATCAATCAGCTCATTCAAGTTGCTAGTCATTGATCAGTGCATCGAATTGATGTTTCATTTGATCAGGTAGTCGATCAGACTATACAGCAAATAAACTTCCATCGTATCTATTCATTATGATTTGAAAAATATTAATCAGAAATGCCTTTTTTTTTTTTCTGTCATCCAAAATAAGCTTTGTTATTTATTATTCTAGTTTAATTGCATTTTTATTTTTTCTTTTTTGTTGTTTGCAAAATAAACAAACAGTTAGTTGCTATACTGTTCTTATTAACTTTCTATTCTTTAAGAATAGAATTCAATCATTGACATTACTTCATTCTTTTATTTCTGTCTTTACTGCATACACAATTATATTTTACATGTAATTTATAAAATTTATAAATCAATTAATTAAGCTACAATCTTCTATATTTAAATTTAAATATAATGAAATTAGATTCTATGATGATTTTTTGTCTTTTCAGTTTAATTCTCTATGTTTTTCTTTAATGAGGAAAGAAAAATGAGTGAAAAATGGAAGAAGAAAATGGTATTAAAAATTAATCCTTCTTATTTTATATATTTATTGTTAAAAAAAAAAAAAAAGAAGAAAAAGAAAAAAATGTAATCTAAGAGAGATTGACAACAATTGAGTTAATGTTTGAAACTTCTAGCTAAGAAGATAGCTTCAAGTAAGTTGAGAGTAATTTAGAATGGGATATGATGAGGTGATTCAAGAATTGATGTAAATTTTGTACGGAATAATTTGATGAATAAGTGATTCAAGAATTGATGTAAATTTTGTACGGAATAATTTGATGAATAAGTGATTCAAGAATTGATGTAAATTTTGTACGGAATAATTTGATGAATAAGTGATTCAAGAATTGATGTAAATTTTTGGATGGAGCAATTCGATAAACTAGTTTTCTAAAACTTTTTGTCTCTCTCTCCTTCTCTCCCTTTCCCTCTCCCTCTCTCTCTCTCTCTCCCTTGAAATGATACCATAATAAAGTTATAGTCATTTCTGTATATAATATATAATTAAATGATCAATTGATTTTTGTATAATTTAATTTTCAGTAAAATGACGACACCAAAGTGGAAAGATTTCAAAGGATTACGATTACATTGGAAACAACGAATACGTCTAAATAATGTTATCTGGCGAGCATACTATATGGAATGTATGTTTATCATTTTTTTTTTTGTTTTTTGTTTTTTCTTAATTATCATTTTATTAGATATTTCAAATTATATAAATAAGTATCTATTTGAAATATCATTTATCCGTTTGTGAAACAGTAAGATTATAGTAATATTATCAAGATGTTACATATACTTCTTCAGACTGTCAAAAAGTTCAAATTTTATTAGATATTTTACTGTTTGAAAAATTAAAATTTAAGCTACTTTCATGCAGTTAATGATAACTGATAAGGAATTTTGTGAAAATTTTATGACTATAAAATATGTGATGATTTTTATTGATAGTTACACTGAAATGTTACAGTTCGGCGACCTGATAAGGATAAATCAAGAAGAACACCATACTGTTATTTTACTGTACCAGATGATGATTCAACACATGTTAAATTTACGGTAAATTTTTAGTATTTATTAAATTTAGGCCATTTATTTGTTTTTTATTTAAATGGTAATGAAATTCTGAATGATGAAACTTATTATTAGCATTGATTAAGTGATAAGATTATCTTAGATAAATTTCATTTCATTTCATTTTTTAGAAGATTAAAAAAAAACAAAAAGAAATTTCCCTCTTTCATTATTTACTTAAATTCTAGTTTATCAACAATATCAGGGTACTGTTGTGGAAGGAATGTACTGGAAGAGAAGTATGGATGCGTTGAAAGCTCAGTATAAACGATGGCGTCATTCGAGAACACGAAGAAGAGGACGACGAAGGGTATTTGTTTACACAATTTTTCCGTTAACGTGCATTTTTGCATTTTTGTTTTGTTTTTTTGTTTTTGTTTTTTTCAATTTCAAATGAACAAATGACTTCAAATATTACAAATTAATCATTAAGAAGATGAATGATTTAATGAGTTGTTGAGAAAGTCAAAAATTTGTTTAAACATAGAAAATTAATAGATGATAATAATGGTATGATAAAATGAAATAAAATTTAGGGTATCAGTTGGAATCAGGAGATCAGTTCTGTTCCACAATTAGCTGTACAAAATTCAATGATAAAAAATTCTTCTGCTGAGCAACCAGATACGGATGATTTAGATAATGAATTTACGGATACACTTTTTGCTAACCTTATGCAACCATATACATTTCCAGATCCAAAAGAAATAAGTAACTCTTTTAAGATTTTGTTAAATTTTTATCAGTTTTTTTTTTTTTTTTTCTAGATTCTATACCGTTTACCAACATTCATTGCTGTTTAATGTGCTATTGATTGTTAAAGATACAGAAAATGGGAGGGCACTGAGAGAGACTTTTCATTTCATTTCTTTTTCTTTCTTTCTTTTTTTTTGTTTACCGGAATTTCTTTTAAATTACATCATATTAGAATATGAGATGACTTTTAACATTTTTCATAATTTTCAATGATTAACAACAAGCAGCGAACATTTTTATAGTTTCATGCACTTTGATAAAAGATAATTTTCTTTATGTGGACAAGATTTTCTCATTAGAAGTAAAAATAAGAAAAAAAAAAAAGATTTCATTGATTCATCTGATGTTAGACTTACTTTTAATTATTATTTAGCACAAGGATGTAATGCTGATGTGATGCAACCCGGACTGCTATCATTACAACCAAGTATCGAAGAAATAATGGCATCTCTTGGTAAACTAAATTTTTTTCTTTTTTTTTTTAAAACATAATTTATTACTATATAATTATCTGGTAACATCTAACAAAAAGAATTGGAATTGCAATTATAGTATGAGAAGAAAGTTAGAATAAAGTATACAATAATGTATAAGAAAATTACATATCATTTAATGCCATTGCAATCATAACATTTTATCATTGTATTTTGTGTATTGCTTTACAAACACTTATGAAATGATAAGAAGAAAGATTAGTAAATAAAGTAATAAGGCAAAAAAAAAAAAAAAGAGGAATTTAATCAGGAAATAGCATACTGATTAAATTAAAAAATCATGTTGAAAATATCATTTTCTAATTATCTATCTATCTATATATATATATAAGATTAATCATCGTTGCAATGAAAATGATTATGTATGATTGTGATTGTGTTTTAATTAGATGAATGATAGAAGAAAAATTTATATTGAATTCTCACAATAAAATGTAATATCTGAATTTGAATTAAAACAGTGACAGCAGTACTTTATTAATTTTAATAAAAACACTTCAAGATGATGATTTAAACTCTACTATCTTTCATTTTTTAAATTCTAACAAAACCTTTTTACAGATCCACCAGATCAATTGCTGGATGAAATTGGAAATTATGGTGCTTCAAATGTTTCACCAACTTCACCTTGTACACCAAAAGAATATGAAGCAACTTTTAGTAATAATTTTACAAATCCAACTCAGCAACAACAACAACAACAACAACAGCAACAGCAACAACCAACAAGACAGTCATCTAGTATATCGCCACAAATTCTTCTTGCTAATTCTTCTGCGCCAACATATTCACAGGTTGCTTTTTGACTAGAAAAGAATCAATAAAAAAGTTAGACATCAATTTTACTATATTTTTATTTTAAATATTTCAATCAAAATTTAAAAGAAATATTCTTTATAGGCAGCATATGATCATACACCTTTAATTGCTACAATGCCTTATACAACTGATTCATCAAATTTGGATTATGTACCACAATTTCTTACAACCACAATGCAATTTCCTTCATCAGTTCTACCAAATAGGACATGGTGGATGAATTTTCCATCTACTCCAACTCCATCTTTGCTAAATAGTCCTTCAACTCCATCTATTGTTCTTAGTCCATCTAGCTCAAGTACTACTGGAGTATTATCTTTATCGGTTAATAGTCCAACAACTATTTCAACTGTTGAAACACATCTTATCAATACTTCAAGTAAAAATTCAATAAAAATTTTTCCTGCTCCAACTGATACATTGAAACTTGAAACCGAAAGATGGAATAATACCGTGTTAAGCTCTTTATCACGTGAAATTACAACTGACTCAACAGAACATGGAGCTTGGAAGGTTAGTTTTTATTCTTCCTTTTTTTTTTTTTTTTTTTTCAAAATTGAGAAATTTCTTGTGTCGAAATTTTGACATAAAAGAAATTTCAGAACGAATTGACATGCTTTTTTTTTCTGTACAACCTTTTCTTTTCTTCGTTTAAATTCTCAATTTACAAAATTTTTTTGCTGTTTACCAAAGTTGTTTTTTCCAACTTAAATAATTAAATTGAGTTTTCAGCAGTTACCATCAACCGCAAATACGGCTAGCCAAAATTCACTTCTGATACCACAACCTGTTTATCCTCAACAAAATAGTCAAATAATACCAAAAGTGACAGAATCATCATCACATGAGCAAAGTACTCTTCTTTCTGCTAGTACAGCATCAATTAAACAAGAACATGAGAAAGAGGAGCGAATTCATCGTGTTCAAAAGTATGACATACTTTTTTAATGATTAGAAGGTAATAATTGAAACTAAAATTACTAGAATAAGTTAACATTAAAGTAGTGCATTCTTGAGTCTTTCCATATGTTTTGAACAAGTTAGTGTATGAGAAATTTTTTACTATTACAAAGGAGAGAAAGTGTTAGCGAAGCGATCATTTTAAAAATAACTGAGAATGCATATGAGATCATAAGAAATTTAATGAATTTGAGATTAAATCAATCAAAAGCAGAGAATGTTATGACGATTAGATTCATTATCCATCAGAAAAAGTGAATACGATTGCAAAAAGAACAAGTAAAACTGTAATAATTTAGAAAAAGTGAAGAAAGAAGGATTACATTAGTGCAGGAATATATGCGTCGTAAGGAGATTAAAATGATAATGTGAATTTAGAGCATAAGCAAAACAGTTGAAATATAAGCAAAACAGTTGAAATTGTGCGGATACGATGCAAAAAGAACAAGTAAAACTGTAATAATTTAAAAGTGAAATATTACTTTACAATAGAAACATGCAACTAAATATTTCTGACTTTGGTTTTGAAAAGAAAAATTTTGTTTAGAAAAAACTTTTAAAACTTTCAAACAAGTACCAATGGAAGTTTTCTGTTAAGGCGTGGCTGTAGGAGTGTTGCAGCAGATAGTACGATTGAACCGGTAGAAAGGAAACGTATATTGCATTTAAATGCTGAACAAAATAGGTTAAATTTTTATTTCATAAACGTATGATAGATATATGCATAAATTAGAGCAATTTCATTTTAATATCAATGAATTGTCTACTTTAATTGCAAATAATAATTTATGTGTTGTGCTGCTTAAGTTATTGTTATACTTAAATTGCTGGAATTTAAATTTACTATAATAGTTTTAATATTAGGCAGGCCAGGCTTATTAGCTTGAATTGTTATTTCCAGAAATACAAATTATCTAAAAATTTCCGCGTTTAGACGTTGTGCATTGAAAGATGGATTCGAACAATTGTTAAATTCCTTACCAAATTTGTATGGTTGTGGTACAAAACCAACAAATGCGATTGTTTTAACACGCGCAGCTGAACGTATTCGACAACTGAAAGCTGAAATTGCGCTTAATGAAGAAAAAACGAAACAACTGAAGCAGAGCATACAACGATTAAATGATAAAATTGTGTTAGTATTTTCTGTTGCTTTTGCTTCATTCGAATTGAAAATTAAATTTAGTGCAGAAAATTCTTTACAGAGGATGACGTAGACTAGATATTTTATTTTCAATTTAATTTGTAAATGCTGATAGATTATATCTGGATGTAATCATTTGATGATGTTTCTGTTTATTTCGAGTTACACTTAGCGATTGTTTAGAATAATTTTCTTTCATTTATATTCTTTCATTTATTTGCTTGTTTATGTATGATAAATGAATATATGTGAACTTATAACATGTCTAACTTTGAAGATTAAAAATATGGATCGAAGAAATAGTAAAAAATTCAATCTATTATCACTTCAAAATTCACTTTTATTTTGTAGATCACTCCAAGCCTCTTTACCGTCATCATCACGAACTGCTGTAAGTACGATCAGTCAGAAAGCTGAGATGGAACAGTTTTTGGAAAGATATACAAAAGAAAGAACACGTCAAGATTACCGTTTTTGGGTTGTAAGTTTTGCAAGTAGTTCACTTCCACGTGTGATGTAGAAAAATTTAATTCGAAATAAAATAGTGAAAATTTTGATGATATTTTGTGCTAAGATTCTTTTGAGAACAATTTTTTTCCCTTCTGACTTAGATCACGTACGTGACTTCTCCCTTCTGATTGAGATCACGTATGTAAATTATGTCACATATTAGTGCTAATGATTTTTGATGTTGGCAGTTTAAGACAAATATTTATGATTTAATGTATGTATGCTTGTGATTCTGATGTAAAATTTTTAGATGGCCAAAATGATGCAACCATTAACGGAGACACTGATCGAAAGACTTAGTCAGTTACCGTCGAATAGAGCCTTGGCTGAAACAAGTGACTGGTTGCAGACAAATTTCCAATTGTCCACTGTAAGAGCTAATGCTTCGTCGCTGTTAGTATATTTGGCGACACACGCCGGTATGTTGAACGATCCGAATGCATTGCAGGAATGCATTCAAAGAGAATTGTCGCAATAGGCACAATACAAGCAATAGGTGTGATCTGATTGACATTATCGCTGATCCAAGTAGTAAATAATGTTGACTGATTTCGGAATAGTTCATCCAAATTTGGTAAGCGATGATTGAATAGTACAGCTAAATTGATTGAACATTAGTCTAATTGTATTAGCAGTTAAATGGCCTTCAGTTTTCTTAACAGTAGACAAAAGAGATGGGGAAGTGGTGAAATCTTTCGTAGTTCTTTTCGTTTTTCTTATCTTCCAAAGAATTCCAAAAGGCTTCAGCACTGCTTTGTCTTTAAAACTTTTGCTGTTTGACGATGGAAGCAAAAGATTGAAAGAATGGGCAGATTTGAAGTTTGCAGAGAAGATCTTCTGATTCCGATGTATTTCGAAAAAATTTGCGAACCTTTAAGTTTGTTGTTAATTCTTAGCCTTTTTTTTTTTTTTTTTTTTTTGTTTACTGGAGTATATTTTCTATTTTTAATCGATCCAGGTAAAATATGATGTGAGAAATCATGAAAAAAAAAAAGTTAATTGTGTGCTCACAACATTTGCCTATTTACACTTATGTTTTTCTCTGTTTCAAAATTATTACGGGTTTCTTTCCTTTCCTTTTTTAGAAATATTGAAAAGGATTCTAAATTGTCGAATTCATAATCTTTTCTTTTTTTTCAAAAGTTTTGTTTCTTCTATTGTACCTCATCAGTTCAGTCAATCATTTTAGATTCATATTAATGTATTTTTTTTAAACAGATTTCCAATACAAAATGAAATTTATCGTCTGAATTCCTGAGTCAAGTTTCTTATCAATTAACATTTGAAGTTTACAAAAAAAAAAAAAAAAAAAAGATCCTGCAATTCTCACCCAAATATTTGATATCAATCACATATTCCACAGTCATCTTTATAAATGCACACTTCAAAGAAGAAAGAAATAACAATTTTTCGCATAGCTTTGGTAAATGTTATTCCTTTCAATGCAAATTCGTAACACTTTCTCAAATATATTGGTAGACACTACCGTAACATTTCAGAATTACAGTAATGGTCGAATGCTACAGTGTTACAATGAATACAAACTTTATTTCTATCTACAAATTTTATAGGAATAAACAAGATGCACAGGATGTGTAATTTATACATGTGATACAGTTGACAGCAATTGTCTTACGTTTGCTGTTAATGTTGTACTTCGTGCTGTCAACAATTTCATGCTGTCACCATCTTTTGCTTGTGCCTTTTCGATACTTTGTAATACCTCCACAAGTGATTTAAGCATCTGCAACAATTTATTCCATCTAAATAAATTTTGTAAAAAAGATTATATCGAAATTAATGTAATAACTTGGACATATTTTCGTCTAAAACAAAAATAACTCAATTTTTAATCAAATTATTGGACGGGCAGTATTTAAATACTATACAAATGATTAAAATTATTTCACGTAAATGTTTGTAATAGTAACATAATAAATGATATTATAATATTTATTGTGGCAGTTTTTGAGTTGATATTCAAATTAATTCAATAATAAAGAGAGAGAGAAAAAAAAGTGAGAATTATAGCATATTTTTCATCTATCTTTTGCAATTCTTCAGACTAAAATTTTGACAGATACTTGCATCCTAACAGTAATTACAGATTAGTAATTGGTTAATTCTAGAATAATCTAAAATTAAAAAGAGCATTTTTTATCATTCATCTCTTATTGACCTGTTCAGTTTTTGTGGTCATTAATTGTGCTTGAAAGATCGAATTTGATTTTTGAATCATTCGTTCCGTTATATGTGTTACTGCTTCAGCTGCTTCCAATACTTCATCAATAATTTGTGACCAATATTTTCCATTTCCCATATCGTTTATTTCAAGCAGCATTGTCTAAAATTGTATACTGTATTTACATTACCGTATTTATACCGTATGTGAACCCAGCATACATTTGTTCATATGGTAATGATACGGTAGATTATATGGAAATAAGAAACGGTATACTTAAGCTAATTCTAGAAATTTTCATCAGTTTAAGCTTCAGTCTATAAAATTAAGAAGAAAATTGCAGTGAAGATTTCTCACTATAGAATAATCTTCTGAAACTGTACTATTGCTTTCAACAAGTTTGATTTCATAGTACATTACAAATACTTAAACATCTCCAACTTTTATCTATTAGAAACTATATAAACTTTATTACCTCTAGGATATGCTTCTTACCTGATAAAATTTGGATTGTTTTAGTTTCGTGATATTGATAAGGTATTGAAGACTTTAGATGTTAAAATTCAAAAGATAAATCTTAATGACTAAAATTTTTTTTTTTGTCAAAAATTTTACAAAGTTTATTTAATTCCTTTATTTTATTCTTCTCCAAATCCGTAATTGTTAAAAATAACAAAACAAACTTTACAAGCTCCAGCAAGTTTTCGACTTTCCTTTAATAGTTCAGTTTTTTCATTTTCGGAATCAAACGATTTTCTTGGTGATTGATTCGGCAAATCATTCATTGCTTTTTCAAGTTGTTTTCGTAAATTTTCCACTCTAAAAAATATTTAACACTTTTTTTTCTGAAATTTGAAATCTTCAATTTTGCATTACATGTGCTAAATTATTGGTAAAATTTGTTTAAAAGCTTTATTTTAAAAATTTTCCAAAATTTTCTTTAATCAGTTTTTTCTTTTTTTTTTCTCTGATTTTTAAACTGTAGAAATACCAAAAAAAAAAAAAAAAAAAAAAAAGCAAATTAAAAAATTCTTATAACAATTGTATTTTTAAAAATAACTTCTAACCTTTCACTAATGTCATGAAAATTGATCTGCTCTGGCTTATTTGTTAACTCATTTTCGGGTACTTTTCGTAGTTCGGTGCATTTGATATCATCAAAAGTATTACTAACAATTGGACGACGTCGATTACTGTATGTATCAATTAGACTTACTGATGATTGACAATTTTTCTGAAAATCTATGTTTGTTTCCGGTGACATCGAATCTTGTTGCCTGAAAGTAACTCTAATATTGAAAACTTTTAAAACTTAGAAGAAAAAAACGATAAATAAACAAAATAGGTTGAAAAAAAAAGAAAGCAAACATTATTTTAAAAGCAATGTAAGCAATAATTCTGATTTGTAAATGAGGAAAAATACTGCGTAAATTATAAATTCTGTTTGTTCGTAATAAATTATTAGCAAGTAAATTTAAGATAAAAGGTAAACAACTAACTATAATTGAAATTTTAATGTAATCTAACATGGAAACAATTAAATAACAATAAAGGATTGATAATTGTTGTAATGATAATAATACAAATTTAAAATAATATTACAATAATTATAAATAACATTGAATAATATGCTAATTAGCTATATTAACAAAAATACATAATAATGATACAATTCTAGTTGATAGTGAAATGATAACGCGAATGTTACTATAATGTGAAAATTATATGAAATGTCTAATTTATCAGTTCTTAATTTATTCATGATACTACTTCAATTATAATCAAAAAATCGAATAAATTTCAGCTAAATGCCGAAAAAAAGTTGGATAAATTTCGTTTAATCATAAAAATGAAATGCATCTTGTTTACATTAATTTTAAAAAGCTAATTTCTTCAGCTTAATGCAAATTTTAGTATCATTTTTAATTCTCAGTTACCTTTTTTTCGTAATTAAAAGTAATTAAGATATTTATTTTTTTCTTTTAAATTTTACTGATATTACATAGATAATTTAAAAAATATGCTGCAAGTAATTTTATCATATGGTCTCAGTGTCATTCTCATATAATTTTTTGAACTTACGTTAATGTTTTATACATCAAAGTAAACAATCATTGTTAAACTCATAAGCTATCATAAAAAAGCCAAACACCAAAAATGCAAAAATAACAAATCAATAAAAATAATTATTCTCCAACTATTAAAAATGAAATTATCTCCAATAATAACAACCAATTAGTTCTGATTGTTTTCTCTTTGTTATTTCAGTTCAATTAAGTTCTGAATGTTTACTCTTTGTTATTTCAGTTCAATTAAGTTCTGAATGTTTACTCTTTGTTATTTCAGTTCAATTAAGTTCTGAATGTTTACACTTTGTTATTTCAGTTCAACTGAGTTCAACATTTTCCTATAAATATATGAAGCTTTTGTTTATTATCAAATAAGTCTGATAAACTCCGATAAAGAAAAAAAAAAAGAAATTTTAAAAAAAAAAATAGAAATTTCTTTTGATGAAAATGATTTTACAGTGATAACCATCAATAGTCCAAATTTTATTTTGGAATAAGAAAATTATAATTAATGTAATCAAATAAATTGTATAATCGTAATAAAATAATAATATGATTGTCTAATAGAAGTTAATCGTTTTTTTTTTTTATAATTTTGTTTAAAAAATTTTATAATTTATCTTTTATTTTAAATTAAAGATCGAATCAATTAACAATAATTCAAGAATTATGCAATGCAGATATTATGTTAAAAATTTTACAGAGTAAATTCATCATTTATCTAATTGAGGTTCAATTAGTAACTTAATAATTAATGATAAACAAAAAGTAAGAAAAGTAGTAAAAGTTAATCAAAAATGCAGTCATCACTTTGCATGCATGCATACATTTACTCATTAACGAATTCGTTAAAATGTTACTAAAATTATAAGTCATTAGTAAACAATTTTGTTTATTTATGATTTGATCAATTGATAAATGATAATAATCGATCATTTAAAAAGTATATATATCTGCATATCAAAATTTACTTTAACAAGATAACTTATAGAAAATAAACTGATAATTAATCACTAATTCAGTTTTACTTGTTTTTTTTTTTCTTTTTTTGCATGCTTTAATATTATTTTTTAAATTTATTATAATTTTTTTATTACTTAGTAATAATACTAATTTCTTTCAATTTGTTTAAAATTATAATTTCAGTTTAATTTATCTTTCATTATAACTAAAAGTGACACAATTGTTACAATTATTATTTTTTAGTCCATATTGTTTGCAATTTTATTATTTCCTTACTTTTGATCATTTAAAATTTCTTCCTTTTTTCTTCAGACACTTGAAATTTGATTGGTAACAAATTTGATTTTCATCATTTTCAAAAATTTATTTAACCTTTTTTTTTTTTTTTTTTTTTTTTTTTTAAAGCATTTAACAAATAAAGTAAATAAGTAAGTAAGTAATTAACCAATACTTTCTGTACTAAAAGTTTTTTTTTTTTAATAAAATGTATCAGTATATATATATATTTTTTTACTATTTTATTTTACAAAATGTATTCAAAAATCATTCAAATATTTTAAATTATTTCAAAAACTGTAAAAAATTGTAGAAATTATTCTCACATGTATGTGTGTGGGTGTGTTGCATAAAATTTTCATTATTTTGCTTACCTTTTCAAAAATTAATTAAAGGTAAAAAAAAAAAAAAAACAAAAAAATGAAAATATTGTTTACTTTTTTTTTTCACTAACGTAACTTTCGAGTCCCGTAAATTCAGCCAATGATATACGTCTGACTTGTACACGTTCATCGTTATTCTGAAAATATTTGAAACTCTCTATGGCATAAAATAAATCTCATTTTTATTCTATTGCACTCAAATTCAAACAAAAATGACTATCCATGTAATAAATCAAAGAATCGAAAAAAAAAAAAAAAAAAAGAAAAACTATCTAAAATAATAAATCATGAAATGAAGAAAATGAACTATCCATGCAATAAATCAAAAAAAAAAAAAGTTCAAAATATTATTTGCAAAAAAAAAAAAAAAAAAAAATTAAAATGGTAAAAAATTTGAAATTTTGAATATTAAATAAAATTTAAACATTATTATAATTTAATTAATTTGTGTATGTTGAAAAAAAAAATTTAAACTATAAAATATTATTAAAATCATTTAATTTGTACATGTTGAAAAAAAAAAAAAAGGTTTAATTGGGAAATTTGTTATGTTTAATAATTAACATAGCATTTTTTCATTCATAATTTTTCGATTTAATTTTAACATTTGAATTATTCATTTTCAATGAAAATATATTTTGAACATTTTTCAAAAATTTAAAAAGAATATGATAAATGAATTGTTAATTCATGAATGTTTCATTAAACAAATATGAATTATTAAATTTTTAATTGTTCAATTATCATTGACATACAATTAATCTTCCATTTGCTAATTTTTGATAATATAATAAAATTAAAATAAAATTTTACTAATGAAAAATTAACTAAAAAAGACGAAAAGATGCGCGCATTTATAATGTAATGTGAATATTTTTTTATGTTAGCATCAAAATTTCATTTAAAATATTTTTTGATTGTTTGTAAAACTTTAAAATATCTTTTTTTTATCTCATATAATTCATTTATTGATTCCACTTAAAATTTTATTTTTAAATTTTGTCTTTTAGAAGTCAAATTTAAAGTAAAACAAAAATTTCATTTCTTAAACAAACAATTTGATAGCTTCAATGGTTGCATTTTTAAAGCTTATTAAATTTGCCATTTTGTTTCGCTCTAAAGTTTTGTTAATAATTAATTCTACATCAAAAAATAAAATGTTCCACTTTCTTTTCTAAACTTTTTATCTTTTTCTCTTTCTTTCTCGTTCTCTTTCATCTTTTCTCTTTTCTATTTCGACAATTTCATCTTTTTTTTAAAATGCATCATCATTACACGATATTTTGATATGGTCTTCCTTTTGTTTCTTTCCTTACTTAAAAGATTTGCAAAATTTTTCATAGCTATGCAATTTTCATTTTATGTTAAAAATTTTTCACCCATCAAACATTAATTATACTAATCATTTTTTATTTGAAAGCAAAAAAAAAAATATTTTTTTTCTGCTAAAAAAGATAATATTCGTAATTAAACTTCAAAATTCAAAGTGCAAATTATGCATTTGTTAAATTATACAACTAATTATAATGGAATTTGCTTATGCTTATTATTATTATTATCATTGTTGTTGTCATTATTATCACTATTATTAGTCGTTATTATATTATTTTATATTATTCAGTCATTTTTATTTGTTATTATTATTATTATTAATTTTACTACTATTATTATTAGTCATTGCTATTATGTTATTATTATTATTGTTAGTCATTGCTATTGTTATTACCATTATTATTAGTTTTTATTATTGCCATTATTATTATTATCATTATTAATCATTGCTATTATGTTATTATTATTACTATTACTATTATTACTGTTATCATTATTAATCATTGCTAATATGCTATTATTATTGTTATTCATTGCTATTATATTATTATTATTATTACCATTATTATTAATCATTTCTATTATGTTATTATTATTATTACTATTATTGTTGTTATCATTATTAATGTGCTATTATTATTATTATTATTATTATTATTATTATTACTAGTCATTACCATCATTATCAGTCAGTCAATTTCATTTGGTTTGTTTTATTTCTCATCTCACCTTATTTCTCGAAACATTCATTTTTTTTTTCAAACAAAATTATGTGGCAGAATATAACATTGCTTTCTTTTTCAATAATTATCAAAAAAAAAAAATAAGTGAAGAAAACAACAAATCCAAATAATATTTAATTCTCTTCCGAGAATAATTTCAAATAATTTCAAAAAACTTTGCAATTTCTCGTACAGATTACATATTTAATTTGCAAGTATAATAAACAAAAAGAAAATATTTGTTTGTTTTGATTTGAACTGAAATAAAATTTCATTCAAAAAATCAACAGCAAAAATTTCATTTTCTATCTTAAAACATTTGCGCTTAATATTATATAGTAAATGTCTAAAGTTAAATAAATAAAAGAAAAAATTTTTTAAAATTCTTTGTTGTATTTTTATTTTATTTCATTTTTCCTCAAATCAAAAAAAAAAAAAATTGAAAGAAGTAAAATTCAATTACAATTTTTTTTTGTCACTAATTAAATTATTATTCAATCATTCTTACATACCAACAAAAAAAAAAAAAAAAAAAAAAAAAAAAAAAGGTAAAAATAAAATTTTTTTAAGATCAAAAGTTTTCTCTGTGAAATATTTTAGCATTGATATAAATATTATCTGTCAAATCAATATTCTATCATTAAGTAAAAATAGTTTTTCAATATAAATAAATAGCCAATAAATCTTTATAAGACAGAATTACGATATGGAATAAATTTTAGCTATTCAATTTTAATTGTTTGTTCAAAAAAAAAAAAGAAAAAAGCATTTTATTAAATTCTTCTTTCTTTTTTTTAAAATCTCACATAAATTTTAACCTTTATTTAAGTTTCATTCGTAATTTTTTTTTTTTGTGAATTTATTAATGAGATATATTAATTAAAATTACAATTAAAATTAAAAGTTCTGACCATAAATTTTATTTATTTCAATTTTGTATTTTCATCAACAAATAAGGAATGATAAAATGAAATTGAATATGAAATGAAAAATGAAACTATTGATTTTTCATGGCACTAACTAACTAACTAACTGACATTATCATTTCATCTAATGATGTGGAAAAAAATCTTTGGGGAATTTTCTTTCTCGTAATTTTCAGAGAGAAAAGAGAAGAGAAAGAGAGAGAGAGAGAGAGGGAGGAAGGGAGAGAGAGAGAGAGAGGGAATCAAATTCCTCAATTCTTGAAACTTTTTTAAAAGTGACGAAGTTAGACATATTTTTGCACACATTTGTCTTTCTCGTCAAATAACTAGTGGAAATGAACTGTAAAATGAATTTAACTTACGTGAAATACTTACGTGATAATAAGTAAATAAAAAGTGATTAAATTACAATTAGTAAATTCATACAAAAATTTATTTACTTACAACCTGCATTGTTATTTTAAAGAAGAAATTAAACCAAAATCATAAATTCTTTTATGCCTCATTTTTAACTGTGAATTTTAAATTCCCACTGAATGTAATTTTAGAAGAAAGAAAAAATAAAAAAAAAGTAAGAAAAAAATTTTTTTTTCTAAGCATTAATAAATACTATAATATTAAATTTAAAAAAAAAAAATAGGTAACAAATTTTTTATCGGAAAAATTAATTACTAAATAATTGTTTGCTTTTTTTTTCATTTAATGTACCATTAAAAAAACAAACAATTTTGAGAGTTACAACAAACTAATTATCATTAATTAACTAATTTGGCAATCTAATAAAAATTATAATTAGTAATGAAATAATTAATATTATATGATTACTGATAAAATAGTAATTATATTTTTTTTTTGCAAAATTTTGTTTGGTAGTTATGAGGAATGAAAATTAGGAAATTTTCCATATGATTTTTATTTAAAAGTTGTTTTGCGAGAAATAAACAACAAATAAATACTGTCGAGACTTTTCAACAAAATTTATAACTTTTATTACTCACAATTTCAATATTGATTGTTTATCTCAGACTAAAATGTAAAATGCGAATTAATCAAAAAATGGATGAAATGCAATTGAAATTTCAAAAATGAATTGAAATTAAATTAATTGAAACGTAATGGATTAAATGCATATAAAAATGTTAATTGTACTTTGATTTTTAAAAATAATAAATTGTAATTTAATAGAATTATTGTGATAAAATAATGATAAGAATACCATGATTAAAAAGATTAAAAGGAAATATCTATATTATTAGTTCAAATTTACTTTTTATTTAATAATATTTCAAGAAATAAAAAAATTTAGGTTTTATACATTTGCATTACACATTCATAACTGAATATTGAATAAAGTCTAACAAATATCTTTAAATTACTTTAAATAGCTGAAAATAAAAACAGCTTATTAGGTTAATATTTAAATTTTATTTATTTCACATTTGATATTTGCCAAATATTTATGAAATATTTTTATACTATCAAATTTTTGATGCTAAAATTGTTTTTTTTTTTCTTTTTTTTTCAACTTATAAATTATTTTGCAATGAATGCAATTAGTTAGAAATTAAAAATTAATCTTTTTAAAAATTAAAAAATAAAGTAATTATAAAAATGACTAACTAAGAATACAATAAAATGATTATTTTGTGTAATTCTTATCTGGAAATTGTAAAAAAAAAAAGTTTTAAAATGATTAAAAACATTTAAATTCTTCGTTTAATAATATTTAATTGAACATTTTATTATGAGAAATAGATAGAATAAATAAAAAAAAAAAACTTTTTTTAAAAAATTTTTTCTTACTCCATTTTGCTTGTTTTTGTTTTAATATGTGCAAGGTAAATTTAAAATATTAAAAAAAACCAAAAAAAAAAAGATTTACAATTTGAAAATAAAAAGTTTCAATTTTTTTTTTTTAATTCGGAATTTCATCAAATTAACTTTTATATATACCTCAACAATACAGTATGAATGAATTTACTCCAATTACTCTTACTTTTAAGTATTTTCTGGAAATAATTATGCAAATTAGAAGAAGCATTTTACAGAATTATTTGAGTAAAATTTGGCATAAAAAAGCCAAATACATTATCAAATATTAAAATAGAATAAATTATTAATTAAGTTATTAGATATAAAATATTATTATTCAATTATATTAGTGGGAAAAAAAGAAAATAAATTCACAGTTTTTTCCTTCTTTACCTATCCATTTGCTTCTTTTAACGTTAATTTGAATGTTAATTTGAAATATAAAAGTACTTTTTTTTTTTAATTTTTTAAACAAAGAAATTTTTTTTTCAAAGAAAGTAATTTGCACGATTATAAATGAATTTTTATGATAAATTATGAATTAAAAAAGAATAATTAGAGGGATTAAAAATGCATAAATAAAGCAATAATGACAACCTGATGTGGCTGTGATTGTGATCTGGAAGATTTGGCCTTAACCAAATTTGATAGATTATTCATGCTAGTATCCTGATATGATAAGCTTGAAGTATTGATAGTGTTAAAGTTACTGATTGAGTGATGAAATAAACAATGGGTGACAAGGTATACTCATACGACTGATATGGGCGGTTATCGTGAAGGTGTGGCCACTATTTCTAATAATTTAAGTCGGTTGGTGTCTTTGAAGTAGGGCGGAGTTAGGCGAGAAAAAAGTTTGTTGTGGGTAAGTTTGTTAATGATAGGATGATTTCTAAGGGAGAGAGAGAGAGAGAGAAAGAGAGAGATAGTGCTGATAATGGAATTAGAAAGGAAAGTGATAACAATGCTTTCTTTATCAAAAGGTAAAAATGATAAAAAGTACGAGGAGAGAAAAGCATGATAATTGAATTAGATTTTATGAAATTATTCTGTAACAATAATTGTGCACTGAACTGATTATGATAATTGTGATATAACAATGGAAGGTTTATTAGTGATAGTAATGGTAGTAGTAATAAGATTATCAGTGATAATAATAATAGTAGTAATAAGATTATCAGTGATAGTAATAGTAGTAGTAATAAGATTTATCAGTGATAGTAATAGTAAGTAAATGGGAATAATCAAATAATCATACGTGTCTCCAACTGGTGAATGATCCGATTTCGTTCACGTTTTTCACTTTTTTACGTTTCATTTCATAAACCATTCACTAATAAATGTGTGTAATGTATTTATTCATATAGCATTAATAAATATTTAAAAATATAACTTTTACTTTCTCTAAAATAAATATGCAAAAAAAAAAAAGTAAAAAGATAAAAAAATTACTGAAAACAATATGATTACTAATAAAACGAAGTCAAAAATTATTGAAACAAAAAGTAATAAAATTATTTTTTAAATACTTTTACCTTTCTTTCATTCCCTTTTCTGTTTCATAAATTATAAATAATAATTATATAATTGCAACAAAATATAAATTCAAATTATAAATAGCATTTATTTGTCATCGCTATTTCTTATTCATTCATAAATGTTTTCTTTTTTTTCTTTTAAATTTATTCCTTTTAAATTATTATTTTCTTTATCATATCCATTTGAATTTTTTCGATAGAAATAATTAAAAATTAATAGAAAAAATATATAATTTTTATTTAATGAATAATTTAAAATGATTTATATTAATGAACTGATCAATCAATCGATAAAGAAATTTGATAAAAATCAATAAAAATTGAGCAAATTTAAGATTGATCTACTATACATACACAAATTTATGTATGTAAATAGCCTAGCAGAGATGATTAACTATAAGTAATAGTATCATAGAAAAGTTGATGAAATGTTGGTAAAAGAAATTAGAAATGAAATTTTAAATTAGAACAAAAAAAAAGAAGAAAGCATTAAATGTAAAAGAAATTAGAAATGAAATTTAAATTTTAAACAAAACAAAAAGACAAAAGAAAACGAAGAAAGTATTAAGTGTTTACGATTATATAATATCCTTCCATTGTTTACTTATTTCACATTCAAATTCTATCATAATTTCTTTTCATAAATGATAATTGCACTGTTTCATTTTGAAAAGAAAAGAATTAAATCGATGATGATCAGTATAATAAAATAAATTATTAAGTAAAAATATATAAAAGAAAGGGAAAAAGAAAAAAAGAAAAAAAAAAAAGGAAATAATAGCAAATGGAAAATACTTTTACAACTATTATGCATATTTATATTCAATTTTTTCTAAAAATGAATGGGAAAAAAAAAAAGAAAGAAAGAGATATTACTAATTTTTGCTTCACTCTCTTCCATCTAACTTATTTTTCTCGTTTAGAAATTTTGAAAAGAAAAAGTGTATTGCTATGCTTGAAATGAAATAGTTCAAAACTAGCCTTAGGCTTTAGGCTTATCAAGTAGGACTTCAATAAGAAAGACATAAATAAAATTGAATGCAAACTCTAATAAACAAGCTAAATATCCGTTTCCGTTTTTTTTTCTTTTCTTTTTTCTTTTTTGTTAACCCTAGGGAAATTCAAAAAAAAAAAAAAAAAAGGAAAAAAGGGAGAGAGAAAGGGAAAGAGAAAAAAAGTAGAAGTATTTTTTTTTTTTATTTCTTAACATATAATAATAATAAAAGAAAAGAACAAAGTATATTTGATATATGCTTGTATTTTCTATTCTTTCTATTTTTCCCTCTCTTTCCCTCTCTCCCTCTCTCTCTCTCCCTTTCTATGATTACTTATTTACATTTCACAAATAATTACTTAAGAATGTAATAAAAACTTTATGAATAATTTAGCCAAAAAGTTTACAGAATATCAGCAACTTCTGGAAGTAATTTAAGTAAAATACAAATCAAAGAATGGAAAAAAGACTTCGTTAAATTTTATTTTTTATTTTTTTGAAATAATAAAGTTAATATTTAGCATATCATTTCTTGAAATTATTTAAAATTCTTGAAATATCTAAGATGTTTGCGCTAGAGATATAAGTAAATAGATTTAATTGCATTTACCACGATCACAATTTAATTTTCTATTAAGCGTAATTTTTTATATAAATTTTAAATTTCTCTTTTTTTTTTTCTCAACCTAATCATTCTTCCAAAAATTGAAAACGCTATAAAATTAAAAAAAAAAAAAAAACAAAAAATTGTTATATATAAAAATTGAAAATGAGTAGAGTTTCGATGAAACTGATTTTTAACAGTTTTTAACTTTAAATTAAATTTGAAAAAAGTTTGACTATAATTTTTTAAGCTTGAATAAATATAGCAATGAATTAACTAATCATTGATGGTAATAATTAGAATTTATTTTATAAAAACTAATTATTGATTGATGGTAGATAAATTAGGCATAAAAATGCTTGTAATAATATTAATATAATTATTTATCAATTAATAACTTTAATTACCAATTGACATTTTCATTTATGCAAACGTATAAAATAAATCAAAATTTTGATGCTCAAAGTTTAATTTTTTATATTACCTTTATAATTTGAGTTAAAAATAAATTCATCGAAGAAGTTATGGTTAAAATTATTGTTAATATTATTATTATTATTACATTATTTCTAATTTGGATAAAAAAGAAAATTCATTATACAATTTATCAAAATAAATTAAAATTTTATTTCATTTTGTTTTTTTTTTTCCTTTAAATGTGACACATTGATTGAATATTTTTTTTTTAATCAAAGAAATTAACATTAATTATTTTACTAATATTTACAAAAATAAAAAGAAAAAGAATTTGCAGAAGAAAAAAAAGAAACCATTTATTCTTTTTCAAAATATTTGTTTACTTTGTTTTATTTTCTAAATATTTCTAAAAATTGTTCAAATGAAGCAAAGTTATTAAATATGACAATTAAAGCTGAAAGAATGAATGAAAAATTTTGTAGCAAAATATATTTGAAAAAAAACATATGACTGAAATATTTGAAATTAATCATTGAAGTGATTAAATTGGATTTGAAATGTTGAAAATGTCATTCAAAGCAAAACGGATGACATTAGCACATGTTTAAATCCAAAAGGCGCAAATGTCATGGTAATAAAGAATTTCAAACTATTTCTTGCGCTAATATTTTATTTTATCTAAATTACTACATCTAAGTAGCCTTTTTTTTTTTTATTTAGCTAATTTTATCTATTCTAATTTAAATAATTAGAATCTTTTGTAACTTTTACAATCAGGAAAATGCGCTGATATGCATTCATGCATGCATGCATGCATGCTACTTCTATGCGTAATGTTTCAATTTTGCTGTTTTTTTTTTTTTGGGATAAGTCTCGTTTCATAAATTTAGCATTCATTTAAAGTTTTTTTTAATAAGAAAAGTAATTCGTTGGTATTTTATTTGTTTGAATTTATAATTTTTATTAGCCGCAAAAAGTGTTACTTGTAGAATCAAATTTAAAAATTTTTTTTTAATAAACTAAAAATATGTTTCATTCTTTTAATAAAGATAACATCTTTCTATTCAAACAACAATGATTGATTTCTGTTTTTTTTTAAATTCATTTAAAATCGTTTAATTTAAAATTAAAACATATGGAAATGCAATGAATATTAAAGAATTTTTCGGCGATAGGAAAAATTTTTTTAAAAAAAAAGGAATTGCAAATAAAAGAATGCAAAATCAGTTAATAGAATAAAATATATTGCTATCAAAAATAAATTTTATTGAAAAATCAAAAAATGCAAATTTAGAAAATCAAAAAGTAATTCAATTATTTTATTTTTTTTTCAATTAAATTTTTGCATAATTTCATTAATTATTGGTTCGTTTAGCCAATTATTTCATTTCATCACTTGAAAATATAAAATTTTGCTAAGAGTTTCCATTATTCGCCAAATTTAAATTAACAAATTTCAAATTTGAATTGTTTTTTCAATTTGATCGATTGCAATTACTCAAAAAGTTTCAATAAAAATGAAAAGTTCTTTAAGCATTAGAAACAGTAATAATAAAGCTAATTTTTTCTTTCGCCTGTGAATATGAATAATTACTATCCAAAATAAATTTTTTTGAGCAATAAGCAAGTTGCGATGAGAAAAATTAAAATTTTGTTGAAATTGTAATCTCTAAAATATCAACGCTAAATTAAATTTCAAATACGTATTTGAAATATTTGAAATTTTACTTTCAAAAATATTTTAATTTATCTTATAACTAATGCATACAATATTTTTTCGATATTTTCTATTATAATATTTCAAATTTGAATGCATTTTATTTTAAAATGTACTGTGAACAAAAATTAATTGCAATTGCATTTTTGTGAAATGAAACGAACGGAATGGCGCAAAAGCAGAATTTTTGACAAATGACAAATAATTAATACTTTGTTTTATCACAGTTATAATTAATTATGACTTGTCTTAATCATTTTTACTTATTTTCCATATAATAAGCAAAAAATTTTACTTATATTTCTATATAATAAGTATAAGTAAAAAAAAACTTATTTTCCATATATTAGTAAGTATATTAATAAGTATTTTCCATATATTAGTAAGTTT